TATATATATATATATATATATATATATATGGAGCATTTCAAGTGAGAGAAAATTTGGTGGTTAAATTCAACTGTTGGATTGTTAAAATTTGATGTAGAACATGAGATATTGAATGAAATAAGTATAGATAAAGTTACTGGAATATATTCTTGTGTGTATATGACCCCTGGCTTTCACTTGCCGTTTCTTTTCCAATGCAACCCGGTGGTTGACTTTGGAAGGTGAAGGTTTCATTTAAAGGCGAAGTCTTGCTCCAATTAAGCATACTAGAATGAATGATATTGATGGCGAATGATGAATACGATGTTTTTCTGAGTTTTAAGGGTGAAAACGGGACCCGCTACACATTCAGCGATCATCTCTTTCGAGCTTTGCTCCGTCACGGGATCAACGCCTTCAGAGACGACCAGAGTCTGAGGAGCGGCGATGAACTCGCTCCTTCTCTGATTCAGGCAATCGAAACTTCCACAATCTCAGTTCTTGTGCTCTGTCAAAACTATGCATCTTCCACTTGGTGCCTTGAAGAACTCGTTAAGATCATTCACTGTTATGAAAACAAAGGAAAACATGTTCTACCGATATTTTACTTGGTGGAACCTTCGGATGTGCGGTATCAGAAAAACAGTTATGCAACTGCCATGACTAAACATGAAAACAGATACGGAATGGACTCCGAGAAGGTAAAAGCATGGCGATCAGCTTTGTCAAGAGTATGCGACCTAACTGGAATACATTACAGGAACCATATGTAAGTTCCAACATCTATTTCTTAATTATTCTTGTTATGCTTATGAGTTTAATTAGAGTTTAATGTTCTTTATCAATAAAAAAAACATCATTTCTATATATGTCTTTCAAGGTAAATATCATAAAAATTAACAATATAACCTTTCATTATATATGGTGTGACATTTAGTAAATTTGTATAATTTTTAATAAAATTTTAACTAATAAAAAAAATGAGTTTAATATTATGTTTGTAGTATTTTTCATAAGGTAATTAAAAGACATATTTTAAGGTGATCAAGCAATATAATCTATCATGGTCCTTTTTTTTTTTTTTTTTTTGAATTATTAGATTTTATGATTGCATGAGATTTAATATTAGATCTTCTTTACCCAATTTTTATCTCTCTTTCTCCCTCTCAATCTTCTCTTTGGAACATCTCCACCAAAATTCTAATGAAATTTTCAGCAATAATGAGTAATCCAAAATTTTTCTGAACTTCAAAAGTTCAAAATTGAAGATTGTTCAAAATTTGAAAAACTTATCATACTAAGAGAAGACATTTTTGAAGGGAAAAGAAGGTGCTTCCAAAACTAAAGATGTCTTTTATGGTTAACTTTGCTGACTTTATAATTATATGCTTCAACCATACATTAGCTTGATCCTCTCAGGAACTCTTGAGGGTTAATAATTTTCCAAAGTTGAAAACTTTACCATTGGACACCAAGGCATCCCACTTGAAGACCTTTAAAGGCTAACAAGAATGGTGGGATAAATTAGAGTGGACAAACAAATGATAAAGTTTATGAGTGATTGCATCCCATCTTTGTCGCCTACCATCTCTATGATTATGATGCACCTAAGAAACCCCTTTACATACTTCAAAATGATGAATGTGGTGACATGCCTCGTCAGTGTGGTTGGGTGGCGCGACGGTGGCAACAAATAGTGGTTGATAGGAAATGGTGGTGGGTGTCGCCATCAAATGGTGGTGAGTGGAAGAATCCATGGATAGATAGTTGAATGAAAAATAATAGGTTCTCATACATATATAATAAGACTTATAAAATAAGATTAATTTTATGACTGAAAATTGTGGTCCATCATAAACCACTTATCATACTAGATTACGGTAATCTTCATCATTAATTAATTATTATATAAGTCAGCAAACTTATTATGGTAGTTTTTGATTAATGATGGATCTAGGATCTTGGACCAGTGGGTAATTTATTTGAAAAATAATAATAAATTATTATATATAAGTGTGTGTAAATCAAGACATAAATATTACATAAAAAAGAGAAAGCATTCATCAAGAGTGAGAAGTGAGCTGAAAAGAGAAAAAAAAATTAAGAAATAAACTAACCAATACAAAACAAAAATTAACCACTAGGGTTAGCCTAATAGTTAGGTGGAGAGGGGTTAAGATAGTTAGAAGCATGAGGACCTAGGTTCAATTTTCGTAGCGACTATATTTATAATCTTTCCTATCTTTACAAAAAAAAAAAATTAACAATAAATAAAAAATTAGGGACGATAGATTCAAAATATAAATTTAGAAAGAGTAAAAATCTCATAACTCAAAACAATGTACTGTCCTTAAAGTTAAGAGGTGTAAATGCACCCCTCAAATATATGTTGAAATTTTAATTTATTATTATTGGAGTAATATGGTCAGTAAAACATTTTTAATGTGTTAACTACTTAACTCTATGTTAGTGTCTGACCCGTTTTCCAATTACAGTGTAGGATTTTAATCACATAATACTACAACTTCCTCTTGTTTTTTTATTAGTACTACTTACTATAAAATGAATGAGGAATGCTAGCGGCATATTTTCTAGCACATATTCTCATATATTAAAATTTACAAAAAAAAACTTTAGAATAAGGGGAGAGAGTCATTAAATTTTGTAGATTCCACCGAATTATGTTTTTAATAAATTTTAACTAACTAGAATGAAAATTTAAAAGAGTGTGTCAGAACATATCTCTAAAATGAATAGGCATGAAAAAGAAGAGCACTGTGTGCCTATGCAGGTATGAAACCGATGTTATTGAGAAGATTGTTAAAGACACCTCAGCTAAACTACCTCCCATGCCTTTACAAATTAAGCAACTAGTTGGACTTGATTCTCGCTTTGAACGGGTGAAATCTTTGATAGATATTAATTCTAATGATGTCGTTTGCATGCTGGGGATTTATGGAGTTGGAGGAATAGGCAAAACCACATTTGTTGTGGATTTGTATAACAAGATCAGACATCAATTTGAAGCTGCAAGTTTTCTAGCTAATGTCAGAGAAAAATCAAATAAAAGCATTAATGGCCTGGAAGATCTCCAAAGGACACTTTTGTCTGAGATGGGTGAGGAGACACAAACCATTATGGGCTCTACATTTAGAGGAAGCTCTGAAATAAAACGCAAGCTTAGACTTAAAAGAGTTCTTCTGGTTCTGGATGATGTTGATACTGTAAAACAATTGGAATCACTAGCTGGCAGAGATGATTGGTTTGGTCCAGGTAGCAGAATCATTATAACAACAAGAGATGAAGATGTTCTACATAAGCATGAAGTTAAAATCAAAAGATATAAGCTGGAGGAGCTAAATTATTATGAATCTCTTGAACTCTTTTGTTGGTATGCCTTTAATATGAGCAGACCCGCAGAAAACTTTGCAAACATCTCCACTCTTCCAGTAAGGTATGCAAAGGGTATTCCGTTGGCATTAAGAGTAATAGGGTCCAATTTGAAGGGTAGGAGTGCAGAGGAATGGCAAATTGAATTGCAGAAATATAGGAAGGTTCCAGATGATGAAATTCAAGGTGTATTGGAAATAAGCTACAATAGCCTATCTCACTTGGACCAAAATGTTTTCCTGGACATTGCTTGTTTCTTCAAAGGGGAAAAATGGGATTATGTCAAAAGAATACTAGAAGCTTGTGATTTCTACCCGAATATACGAGTATTTGTTAGTAAATGTCTCATAACTATCGATGAAAATGGCTGCTTGGAAATGCATGATCTAATACAAGACATGGGTAGAGAGATTGTTCGGAAGGAATCACCATCAAACCCTGGTAACCGGAGTAGATTATGGTTTCATAAAGAAGTTCATGAAGTACTTGAAGAAAATTCAGTGAGAGTCTCGACCTTTTTTGTTTTTTAGTTACTTTATATGTTTTTGTACTTTGTCATATGTTTTTAGTGTTAATTTTCTGCATTTGCATGTATTTCCACAGGGAAGTACTAGAATTGAAGGAATAATGCTTCATCCCCCGAAACAAGAAAAAATAGATCATTGGACTTTTACAGCCTTCAAGAAGATGAAAAACCTCAGAATTTTGATTGTTCGCAATACAATATTTTCCTTTGGTCCTAGTTATCTACCAAATAGTTTACGGCTACTTGATTGGAAGGGTTACCCATCAAAGTCTTTTCCACTAGACTTTTATCCCCATAGAATTGTTGACTTCAAGTTACCTCATAGTTTTCTGATATTGAGAAAGCCATTTCAGGTGGTTACATTTGTTTTCACTTTCTATCCCCCTTTAAACATGTGCCAAAACTGTCGCTGTAACTAACTTGATTTAAAAACATAATATAAAGGACTATGCTCTAATCATTTGATTATATTTTGTTTTGCAGAAATTTGAGGATTTAACATTCATCAATCTTTCCCATTGTCAATCCATAACTCAAATTCCTGACCTATCTGGAGCTAAAAATGTAAAAGTTTTTATACTTGACAAGTGTCATAAACTGGTAAGGTTTGATGAATCCATTGGATTTATGCCTAAGCTTGTGTATTTAAGTGCTTCAGAGTGCACTGTGCTCACAAGTTTTGTGCCAAAAATGTATTTTCCTTCTCTCGAAGTCCTTTCATTTAATTTGTGCAGAAGACTTGAACACTTTCCACATGTAATGAAAAAAATGGATAAGCCATTAAAGATACACATGATGAGTACTGCCATTAAGGAGCTTCCCAAATCCATTGGTAATCTTACTGGGCTTGAGCATATAGACATGTCAATATGCAAAGGGCTTGAAAGTCTATCAAGTAGCTTCTTATTGCTTCCAAAACTCGCCACTTTAAAAATTGATGAATGCTCTCAACTTGGAGGATCATTTAAAAAGTTCAAAGAAAGCCATTCATTGGCAAATGGCTGTCCAAATTTAGTGAAACTTCATTTCTGTGACGCTAATCTATCAGGTGAAGATATTTATGCCATTCTTGAAATTTTTCCAAAATTGGAAGACTTAAATGTATCACATAATGGATTTGTAGCCCTACCAAAATGCATCAAAGGATCTTTTCACTTGAAAAGTCTCGATGTGAGTTTTTGCAGGAATCTTAGGGAAATTCCAGAGCTTCCCTTAAGTATTCAAAAAGTAGATGCAAGACATTGTCTGTCCTTAACTTTAGAGGCATCCAGCGTGCTATGGTCTAAGGTTTAACCACATTCTCCATTATTCTTATAATACAAGATACTGTAATTCCGTAAATAGTATGTTGAAGCAAACACACTAATGTCTTTCGTTGTGACAGGCCTCAAATGGAAGAAGACAAGTTGTGATGCCGATGCTGAGAAAGGAAATACCTGAATGGTTTGACTGCATTTGCACTCAAGAGATTCCGCATTTCTGGGCTCGCAGAAAGTTTCCCATTGTTTCCTTAGCATTAGTTTTCAGGGAATCAAAAGAGACTGTGTCTGAAATTGAAGATGCTATAGAATCGTTGAATGGAGTTGTGCACTGGCACACTGTTAGCCTCCACTTGTTTATTGATGGACAAGAAATATGTGGTAGAGATTACCACTATCTCAACGTTGGGGAAGATCATGTGTTATTGTGTGATCTACGCATTTTGTTTAATGATGAAGAGTGGAATGACATTGACACGAGTTTTGGAGATGATTGGAAGGTCATTCAGATTCAATATGATTCAAGCTTGATTCTGAATAACTGGGGAGTTTATGTGCACAAGCAAGAAACAAACATGGATGATATCCAGTTCAGGCTTCCCACTCCCAGCTCCACTAGGGACTACTTGCAAATGCAATCATCACTTTTGGTTCCAAAAGGATCTCCAAAGCAGAAAATGAGACATATGCTGGAAAGTTTTAATCCACGAGACATGTTTAGCAAGAATTTGCCTCTATTAGAATCAGAAGAAGGTCCAGTGAGGTCTTCAAATGTATATTTGAGGTCCTTGAGAAATGCTAAGGCTGAAATTGGAGCAGAAGCTTTAGCCTCTAACTTCGGGGCAAGTTTAAAGCAAGAACATGAAGAATCTGTTGAGGATGTGGTACAAGTTTTAGAGATGATAAAGGAGAATGTACCTAAACATATTGTCGATTCTTACCCTGAAGAAATACAAAGTGTAGGTGGATTAGTGGAAAGAATATTAAGGGCACGTGTAGAATTAATGAAGGAAGATGGGCTGGACATAGGCATGCCTATTCTTCTAGAGTACACTGACAAGGGAGGAGCTACAAAAAGACGCTTTTGGGGAGTGTTGGAGATAAAAGTAGGAGATCCATTTTACAAAGCAGTATTGAGGAAGCAAAACCAACTTTCGTGGGAATTTTGGACCGGCAATGAAGCCTCAATCTCTGGCTCTTGGTTAACAAACTTGAGGGTAACCATTGTTCTATTGAAATGCCAGGGTTCAGCTATAGAGGAAGCTTCAAGCTCTAGCCATGGAGAATCCTTGGAGGATGAATACTACAATCCTGAATTGGAAGAGTTACTGAGGAGAATAGAGCAAGATGCTATGAGCTTGAATAAATCTTATGGGAAAATGAAGGCATCTATTGTTCGAACTGATAAATCAATTTCTGAAGAGCATCTACTTGAAACAATAGCCTTTAGAAGACTAATGATATTGGGAAAATTGACAATGTTTGGTTCCATGACCAAGTTCAAGGTAACACCTTATGGGAAGATAAGGGTAGAGGATGATCCTCTGCGCACTCTAAAGACATGCTTCTGGGTTTTGATGATGGTTCTTGTTGTCCTAATTGTGGGGTTATTTTGTTTTATAGGGTATGTGGGGCTTTTTATTTATAGGGTACCAACAATAAGAAAGTTTCTAGTGTGGGGTTGGTGGCTTGTCATGCAAATTCTTGTGTCTTTTAAATACTTGTATCAAAGAATTAGTAAGATTGTGAAAATAAAGGAGAAGGAATTGTAGTCAAATAGTGGCAAAAGGATTAAAGCTTTGTCTACAAGGCCTCGCATCTTTGTCTACAGTGGCTGAATTGGGAGAGGATTTTGCAGAATCACACTCAGGTTTCATCTTAATCCCCTCACACGATTGCATCTTCTCTTGCATTTTCATTCTCCTTTGATGTATCCTGTTTTCAATTTTTTTGTTGTACTTTTCAGGAACAATTTTCTCCTACTATTACCAATCTTTATCTCATTTGTCCCATGGTAAGAGTAAATGCTGATTTTCGTTGTTCTTTGCTTGCATGCAATTCCCTTTTCCCAAGTGAACTTCGATCGTGTACAGGAATGACTGAGGTGACTGTACATGATGATGGATGAGGGTGAGTAGAAAGTGAAGGGAAATCTTATATTCAAAATAAGACCTTAAACAATAAGAGGAAGTGTAATGTACTATATTTTTTTCATGAATATACTTTTAATGGGTTAATCAAAATTATCATTCTAAATATCTTATATTCATTTTTCCTTTTTATTTGTTCGTAAAGTTATGACTTATGAATGCTATAAAATTGAAAAAAGATACTAAGACACAAGAAGCTGCCCTAGTTTTAAAAATACCACAACACAACTGCACAAGTACCTTGAAGGTGCAAAGCGCATAGCCACTGCAAAATAAATCATAAGCAACAAACCCACTTGTTAACAAACTCCAAAACTAGCAAAGGTCAGGGACCAGGGTCAATATAAGATCGAAAGAGCCAAATAAACTTGCCAATCTCCACCTTGGAAGTTCCACCTCAACTCATTTTAAATAGCTAAAAGAAATATTGCCAAATGGACATGCAGGAGAGTCAGTCATGTTAATAATATATTCCTAACCATGAGGATTGATACCCTTCTTTCTTGTCAAGCTTAAATATCATTTTATTCTTATAAAAAAATATCATTTTTTTTATAGAATAAGTTATATCTCTTTATATAAAAAAATAAAACAAATACATATTTAGTTAAAAAAAGTAATTTTTCATTATATTATAACGTAAGTGTTAATTATCTCATAAAAAATCAAAGATGTAGATAAAACAATAATAAAGGTCTGGACTCCAAACAAAATCTTACTTATATTTTATATTTAAATTATAACAACATGTTTGTCGCATGAAATATATCAGGCATGAGACAAAAAAAAGAATAAGATAAATTATATTTTTAGTCCTTTATTTTATTTTTGTATTTATTTTAGTCTCTTATCTATTAAATTATTTATTTTGGTCGTTTATCTTTTATATTTAAATTAGTTTGATCCTTTAAAAACAAAGATCATTTTTAATTTTGCAATATGATTTTAAATTAATTTTTGATTGATTTTAGACTACAAACTTGTAATATTAGATTTATTTATATAAAAACTATGAAATGTAATTAATATTTAAATATAAAAAGGTTATAAACATAGTAAAAATTGTGTAAAAAATATATCATATGAACAACTAGAAAATAATATGAAATTATTTTTTATTTTTTTAATTTTTACCATGTTTATAACATATTTGACTTGAAAGTTAATTGCATTCAATAATTTTATGAGACAAGTTTTAAATCTTGAATTAACAAAAAAAGATTAAAAATGACTAAATTGACCTAAATTTAAGAATTAAATGACCAAAATAAACATTTTAAAAGATAAATGATCAAAATAAAGTTTAAAAAAAATAAGATAAAGGACCAAGAGTATAATTTAGTAAAAAAAATACAAATATTACTTTTTCTATCAAACAATAATATTTTGAGTTAGGTCATACATAAAATAACATTAATCTATAAGGATTTGTTACTTAACGAGTTTAATTAGATATTTTGAGAATATTAGTTATGAAATATTTAATGTATTTTATAAAATATTTTAATCATTTAATATAAATGTTGAATAATTTTATTCTTATGATAATAAATACTTACAAAATTGTAAGACTAAAATAAAAAATTAAAACATGAGAAGTTAAAATTATGAATTAAATGTTATATAGAGATAAAAAAATGCAATTTAGTGTAAAAACAATTAAAGCACTTATTAAATTTCTACAAAATGATATGTATAAGGTTTCAATTATTAATGGATCGACTACTTCCAAAGAATAATATTTTTCTAAGCACATCAATCAAAGATTCAACCCCTAATCAAACCATGGCACACCTTATTAATATATAAAGAATATTAGAACATATATTCACCTTATTATTAAAACAAAAACACTCTAATTTCAAATGTACCAAACAAAATCGAACATTAAAATTGAGATTTTCTTTTTTACAACAATCAATCCACCAAAATCTACTCCGTCTAAAATCTTAATTATATTATACTAAAATGCTTCTTTTGAAGAATATAGTAGATTTACAATTGTAAATCCCACATGTATAAGATTAAACTTCCATTGGGTGGGACGATATTCTAGGTAACAACTTTCAAGCATACAAAGAACACCGCTAATGAAAAAAATGTTTCTTTTACGACGGACAGAACTTGGTATAGTACACTTTTTTTCTTTGCTGGTACAATGGTATTCAATATCTATTGCAAGTTTAAAACTGCACGATTAAAATCAGAAAAACCTATACACTTTAAGACACAATATGACTTAGTCATGTACATTAAGAAAATGACAACTATATAAACAAGGATTTCTATATGAAGTATAATACAACAATGATACAACAAACAAAATTGAGATTTTAGCCTTCATTTCCAGAACAGCATATCTCTGAACAACAGGTGAGGCAGCCGAAGCATCCAAGACCAATGCAGAGCTGAGTCAATGTAGTTACACATTGATTGTTTAACCGGGTACAGCACTGGATGCAGCACATGCAACAGCAATAACTGCACAACGTTTCGCAACAATTTGTGGCCGCCTTAAAGATTTCAGGCACTTCAGGCAATTTCGTTTCACATCCGGGAGGAGTATTTTCAAGAGTTGCACTTAAGTTGCCGAAGCCGATATTCAAATGTGGTAGTAAAATCATTCTCTGCCCTTGGACGGGTGCCTCACACTGAGGATGGCTCTTTTTCGACGCCTGTTCGCAATGAATGAGAAAATAATTGATTAGAACAGTTTCTACGTGAGATTTCATCCATGTTTCATAACAATATAAGCAAACCACCACAAAACAACCTATATAGAAATCATTCTTGTTAGATATTTAACGACTACTTTCCTGGATTAATGACAGAAAATAGGCTTTCCAAAATGAAAGCATTATTGGCTTATTTTCAAGTTCAAAATCCGCAAAGTTGATACTTACTTCTTTCGTTCCGGCTGATTCCTTGACTTTCTTCAGATGATCGGTCTCAAGTATTATCATTCGTGTATACTCGGACATAAAGCCAGTCTGCAGGCTCAATTTTGCAACCTGCCAATTTAATGAAGCGGAATAAAAAAATTATTTAATAATAAAAAGACACTGATAATGCCGTGTACACATTGAGTAGAGTGATAGCATACAGTATTAACAAACCTTCTGTTCTAGTTGTTTACTTTCCAAAAGCCATGCTTGAGCAGTAAGATGCTCTATTTGATCTCTTGCAGAGACCTGTTAATATAAAAAATACAGCAATATAATAATAATAATAATAATAAATGAAACAGAATTGTAAAAATTGTGGATATTTATTTATAAACCAGCATCTAATCAAAAGATGGCGGGACAGCGACTGTTATAATATGATGAAGCTAACATATATTTATGTTTCACATGCATGCCAAATAAAGACCAATAAACCATGATTCTTTGCGTACCCATTCCAATGGTAAGATTTGACCCAACTATTAGCTTGCTATATAAAATTAAATATAAAAAAAAGGACTACAAGTAAGAACTAAATACACCCATAAACAAAACTAGAACCTCCTATCATAAATTGTAGTTATAAACTTATAATTTCAAATACAAGAAAAAGTGAATTGCAAGTATGCTAAGTAGTATAATTCTTACCCTTTGTACAGGTATGTCCTTAGCATTTTGTATCTTCATATCTACCACAAAATTACTGAAATCAGCCAATATACCTTCGACTTTAAGAGTTTTGGGAAAATTTCCCCTGTATCTCCCAGATAAAATCAATGGACCCTCACTTGAAAGATCTGGAATATGAGAAGGGTATACCTATAACAAATATTGCAGTTAACCCCATAAGAGAGTGCCACGAAATCATCGAAGTCGGACAAACTTCAGCAAATAGTAGTATGTGTAACAAAAAAAATAAATTGTCATAAATGCATGTGGGTTTGCCATAGCATCACATGTCAATCTTCGTTTTCAAATGTCAATCTAAAGATCATCTGCGTGATGAAAATTATAGGAAAAAAACACAGTTCACCACAAATCCCCCAAAGCTATTATGGAACTACAGTATTTAAAAGGATGGGAGGACAAGAATAAATAGGAAATAGAGAACCATGGCACATTTTATCACGTTGGAAGGATAAATTAAGCATTAGTCACAAATTACGATAGTGACAGCATTAGTCATAAATAGGCTATGACAGATGAACTGAACGGAAAGAATCAAAATCTTCAAAAGAAAGCCAGTATAATACAAAGCATGTTCGGTAATAAATAATAATCATCAATCACTAAAATTTTACCTCAAGATCATCAAGATCATCCAACGTGTCCATTTTGATATTTGCAAGAATGAGAGATGAAGCTTTATCAAACAACGTCATCATTCGAGTCTCAATCAAATCTGTCAATTCAAGAAAGAGGGATAGTTTATCAAATTAATTTAAATGCAATAAGCATTAACATCATTTCAAACTAGCCGAGTGAAACTAAGCTTGGTTAAATTCCAACAATGACATTATATTCCAACCAAGGGCACTTGAATCATTAAAACATCGAGGATAAAATGTAATTAAAAAAAATCCTTCAAGACTAGTCATGATATTATTAAATAGTTTATGTATCATGTTTGGAAAAAATCAAAAACTTCCAGGACCTATAAACATTTAATAGAGGGCATGAGAATAAACGTTACAACAAAAGCCATTATCCTACTAAGTGAGATCCACGTAGTCGAACGACATGGTTCGGTTAAATACCAAATTTTCAGTAATATCATTCATAAGATTCCTTTTAACAATTTTCTCCAATGTCTTACCTGGTCTCTCGCTCCCTTTTCACAACACAAGGCTAAAAAAACCATTCAATCTACTCTCCTCATTGAAATTTCTATTAATCTTCTTTGTACATATTCAAACCACCTTAAGTGATTTTGCCATATCTTCCTCAATTGAAATCATACCTATATTTCCTTGTGTACTATTAATTTGCATCTTATCCTCACTCGTGTAGCCACAATCCATCCACGATTTAACCATCCAGATTGTATCCAGTGTGTGAAATGTTAATTGATTTTCCCAACATTTTGTGATATCAATCCTAGATATTTAAACATCTACTTTTATTCCCTATTCATTTCCCTCGTATTTCTTACCAAAATTGCAATGCGTATGTTGTCTTACACCTACTACTAAAGAAAAACTATTCGATTTCAGAGTGTTGAAAAGCTCAAATAGTCCTAATGTAATCATATCCATGTAGGAAACTGAATTCCTCACAATAGTAGTTCTCACTCATCATTCATGTCTTGCATGTATTAAATATAACTCGAACAAACTCCTTTATTTTTATAGATTCTCTACCACTATTTCTATGAGCACTTGATCATATGATCTTCCAGGTCATTAATAATTCTATACCAAGTCTATTTATTTGTTCAGTACCTTTCCATTAACTCTTGTAAAAGACAAATGGTTTTTGTTGTAGACCTTCCTAGCATGGAAGTAAATTGATTCTCATTCTCTTAATCAATGCTTTATCACTATTTCCAATAATTTCGTAATGCAACTCACAAGTTTTATTCCTTTGTAGTTTTTAATTTACATATTTTTAAATATCCTCCTTTTTCTTAAATATAGCAACCAAAGTTCTCAGCTGCCACTCATCTAACATTTTCTTCAATCTCAAAATTTCATTAATTGATGAGTCAAATGATACATTGTTTGCGTACAAATTTCCAAAGTTCAATAGGAATACCATCAGAACCAACAATTGTATCATTATCCATCCTTTTATGGGCTTATTGTTACTTTCTACTGTAGTTTTCCAAATTTATACGTCTTCTGGGATTACTAATCATTCCATATCACAAGTCAATCAAAGTCCATCATTGAAAAACTTCTAAATTAAATTCTCCCTTCTCTCTTTGATATCTTGATCTATAACCTAAGCTACCCCCCTTCTTTATCTTTAGTACATTTAATTATTCAATTCTCTTGTTCTCCTTTCTCTATTTCTAGCAGGCTTAAATATTTTACCTTCTTGATTCTTTGTCCTAAAATTTTGGTGAAAACCTACAAAGAATTTTTTGAAAAATGCCATGTTATCGTTCTCATTTCTGGCATTTCATTACCTCGCCAAAATCTCAGCATTACAACATCCATTAAGGGCTTAACATACTGCATTTTGTCCCATACTTTCATTTCAAAACCAAGATCTTTATCTCTTAACCCAATAAGTACCTTTTCATTAATTACAAACCTTTCTAATCCTCCAGAGTCAAGACATCCTATCTCAAATAAGGTTAACACAATCTTGTAATTCTTAAGTAGCTTTGTTAATAATTTCTCCTTAAAAATCAAATGTTTATCTCCCTTGAGCTGCCATTATTTGATTCTTAAATTTATAACTTGTCAAGTCTTTTATTTATGACTCCTAACAAACATCAAGGATAAATGCCCTATGTTAGGTTGTATGGCTCTCTCCTAGAATCACCTGTTATCATTACAAATTCTTTTATCGCCACTTCTCACCAAAAAGAAATCAATTTGTGACCTTGAGCCTTCAATCTTAATAAGCGATTAATTCTTCAACTGTAAATTTCATGCCCTCACCATCAAGTATCAACATGTCCATTTAGATCCCCTCTTGCGATAGGCCTTGAACCAACTCTTTCAAACCTCCCCAAAACTTTTCTTCCAGAAGTGCTTCCAATCTTGTGGTTCATAGGATTTATGATATCACCACACTTTATTTTCAATTATAACACCCATGTTATTCTTTCCTCAAACTAGGTGCAAATGCAACAACTTTAGCTCATTTAACATTGTACATCAACCATACAACGTGCTACTTCCGAGTAACAGCCTAGCCTTAGCACACAAAATCCACTGTTATTTATCCATGTTTAGTATATAAATAAGTTTCACACTAGCTTCCAAATGGCCAAACACAACCCTTCCCCTATACCCCAAGGTAAAATCAATACACTCTTCCATGAATTGCAGATAACTCACAAGTTCATGCTAGGGGCAATAACCAGGTGACCCAAATAGGATGCCTTAACATGGTTAGTTGACCAATATTTGTCTAAAACACAGCAACGTCAGTTAACTTGTATCGGAAAAGAAGGATAAATAATGACAATGCTATTTTTTTATGTTAAATTCAGAACTTACCTACATCCACTGCAGCATCATATTGGCCCTTACCAATCATTGCAAGGGTCCTCAAGAAGTAATGATTGCAGAACGAACCTGGGGTTTAATGAGTTTAACATATGTAAGTGATAAAATGAAGAATTTTTACCAATACTTAAAATAGATTAGAATAACTAAGAGCAAAATCTTAAACGGGTTTAACTACATAAAATAAAAAGAATGTCACGGTGTTAAAATTAATGAGAAGTTGCATGTTTTGATCAAGGCTAAAAATACTGGGAACATACCAATGCCAAAAGTGTAAATTCGAGGGCATATTGACTCTGCATTGGTCATACGGTTCTTGATCATAGCACAAATCTGTCTCTCATCTTCAACAGTTCCATCTGTAACTAGGAAAATTATTGGAACTGAACTCTGAGCATTAGATAGCATCTCTATTGCCTGAAAAGAAAGGGAAAAAATATATAAACTGCATTTTAGACAATGACAGAAAGCAGAAAACAAAACTCGCATAGGAAAAATAAACATTCGAGCTGAGGAAAGATTGATTTATCTGTTCAGTGTATAGCACATTGTAAACATTCGTTCAGTATCAATCACTGCTCAATAATATTTATATTAATGGAAAACGGTATTTTGAGGTACCGTGTTTAATGGATGTGAAATATTTGTACCACCCCCAGCAACAAAATTCGCATCAATCCACTCGGTGGCCCTCTCAACAGCATCCGTGGTAGCCAATTCCATTGATTTGGAAAACAGATAAGTCTCTCCATTAAAGGCTATAATGTTAAATGAGTCATCATGATTAAGTTTAGAGAGAGCAGCCAACAGTGCATGCTTTGTGTCATCAATCAGCTTTCCCCGCATGCTACCGCTGATGTCCATAACAAACATTATTTCCTTTTTGAACACCTACAAATTAAGTAATACCAGAAGTAAGAATAAAAGGACACTATATATCTATATATATTACAAACTGCGTGTACACCAAGAAAGTTTGCAGTTATAGTACAAACCTTCTTACTATGAATATCTCCAGGAGAGAGATACACGTAGAACATGTCTCTTTGATCAAAATCATGCCCAGGTGCAGATTCCAAGAGAACACCACCATTTATATGACTTGAGGAAACCTAAATGTACACAGTAAGCTAATTAGTAATCCTTTCAAGTTCAGAAAGCTAGGAAAAATAAAATAAAAAGGACGAGTCTTACAGCATATGAAAAGCTAAAATCAACATTAGACCACGAGGGAACATCGGATTCATATAATAAACCCATACTCCCAGCATGACGCCTCACTTCCTGAACAGTCACGATCAAAACAGCCAATCAGTCATAACTTGCTCCATAAGTAAACCTTCAACAGTGGTGCCACAAAAAAACCAAACAAACACAAACCTTGAGTGGATGGCTTATACCCTTGCACAGAAGCTCACCACCAGCAACAGCATCCACATTAACTTGTATCTTTTCTCTCTTAGATATTTTCTTCCCCGCAGGGTTGACGAAATCAGGAAAGTTAAACGGCACATTCAAAGAGAAGTGACCGTTGGAGTAGACGAGTTTCTGAGACCAACGAAGTTTAATCGACAAATTGGAACCCCCATCAACCTACCACAAGCAGTTGAAAAACAATCGCAATCAGCATCACAGCGATAAAACTAATCAAGAAATCAAAAGCAGCTGGACTAATACTAACCTGAGGTATAGTCAAAGTAAATATGTTGGACTTGAGAAACCCTCCGTTTTGAGGTGGAACGTTGCCGTTTTGATCTTCCATAACAACCAGTTGAGTAGAATATGACTTATTAGAAACGCTTACCTCAACACCTAGAATTGAACCCTGTTAGCCAAATTATATCAGAACACAAAAGCTGCAGCACATTAAAAAAAAAAAAAAAAACTTATTATTATTCAAATAAAATAAAAATAAGAATAAATAGAATAAACCTTGTGTGCCATGGGAACTGCGACGCGGCAATCGCAGGAGCGGCTTCCCATGACGCAGTGAAGTCGCCAAGTGCCGGCGACGGTGACAAACGCGGTGTCGTGGAAACAATCGGCGTTCATCTGAATCGCGTTCATCTGAAGCGGAATCAGAGCGGGAGGGTCGCACCTTCCGTAGACGTGCGGCTGGTAGCTCGGGATGTCGGGGTTGTCGACGATCCCTGGATCGTGAATGACCGCGTAGAGCATGGGCGCCGAGGGGAGGAACGCGGTGGCGGAGCGCGCCATCAGCGGCGGCGGCTTGGGCGGCGCAACGGCCCGGTCCTTGCCGAAGTATATGCGCTTGGAGAGCTTGAGTCCGTCCTGGACGGCTTTGGAGAAATCCTCGGTCATGGCGGAAGCGAGAAGATGAGCTATGAGCTTTGGTTGGGAATGTGAAGAGTAAATAGGAAGCAGAATATTTGGATTTATATAGAAGGAAGGAAAGGTGGGAATGTCAAGGGAGTGCAGTGTGGGCCCCGCTGCCAGGTTTTCCGTTAGGAAGTTATATGCTGACACGTGCGCTGACACGGCGTCGGCAAATGGAACACTGATTCAGATTTATTATGGGGATTACGCTTGACTTTGATGTGTTTAGCTGAATTAGTATTAATACTTAATAGAGATTAATTGGTGTTATTGTAATGAGAATTATGGCATTGGAATTGGGCGTCGCTGTCAGCAGTCAGCAGTCATCAGTGATGATACCCATTAATATATCTGATATCTTCCGACTTGACCGTTGGGATGGCCCTTCCTTGTAAATTTGTCATCAGATTATTATATGTCTTGGCACGGTCATTCTACTAGGGACTAGGCTGTTCTCTACTTTACACTTTCCCAAGTCAATCTTTTGCATTTTTTTTAATTAAATTCAATTCGTTGAATTTTTCTTCATAAAGAAATGTTGAAAGAAATGTTGTATTTTTTTAATAATAATAATGTTTTAAATTGTGTACTTTATAAATGGTAAAACTTAATACAATACTTTTATGTATTTTTTTATAATAAAAATTACAATAATAAGAATTTGATTTCAACATCATATTCTATATATATTATTTCAATTTTTTATTACTAGTAGTTCATATTTATATATTTTAATCAAAATTAAAGTTTTGCATTGATAATTTACATGAATATTTATCATGGATGTTATAAAAGTGAAAATTCAATTTTAATTACAAAACATAAATTTGTATCTATATTTTGTATTTTATGGATAAAGTGAGAATATTGTAACTCAAAAGAGTTATATCAATTCACAATTGATTAATTTTTTTTAATGATCCAACTACTTTAATAAACTTTGACATCAAATTTTTTTTATCTATTTATTTAATCTAAATATTAATATTAATCTCATATACTACTAACACAAAATCCTAAAGTGAAATATTTGTTTTGTCCTTTATAATATTTTTTTATTGATTAAAAATAATTTCAATCAATTATTTAATTCATCACACTTGTATGGTGGTTGCCCCCATTTTAATATAGGAATAGGCTCTCCATACAATCATTTAATACTTGATAAGATAGTATTAAATAAAGTAATAAATATATTTTTTTATTAATAAAAATTGAACTTGGTAACGATGAATTTACAAAACTCATTCACTCTATTATTTAGTTAAACTCTATTGGTAGAATCTAATAAAACTATTAATTTTATAAAATTAAAATTTACAATAAATAAGCACTTGTGAATATAAATTATATTATAATTAAAATATGCGATAAATAAATATATTTAAATATATAAATTATATTTTAAAATTATAAAAAAATAATTTAAATTATGATATAATGTTATTTTTAATTATTAGCAAGTTATTAAGCAAAAATTTAAAGATAAATAACATATAAGATAATTTGAATGTAATAGGCAATTAAAGATATCAAATCATTTATCCTTTTCTCCCTCTAAACATACTTTTTCTTCGATCATAGTGGTTTTATGATTTCTTTTAATGAGAACATTTAAAAAAATAAAAAAATCTTAATATTTTATCTTTTTCGATGTATCATTTTTACGTGTATAATTTTCTTAAAAAAAATATCATTAATTAAAATAACCCAGCAAATAAGATGCGCAGCTCCATACAACATATGGATTAGCATGCTTTCGGGAAAAAACATAGAAATAAAATATCATAAATATAAAATATAATTTATATATTTAAAG